GGGGATGCTGCACAGAGAAGGCTTTTACCTTCATGTATAGAATGCATAAAGGTAAAAAACCTTGAGCCTTTACAGCCACTTTAACCACTTGACAAGCGGACTATAGCTGAATGACGGCTACAGCACTGTTGTCCGGTTCTAGGAGGGCATCATATGACGTCCTCCCAGAACGCACGCACCCAGCGGTCTCTGTGATCGCTGTATCCTACGGACTCAACTGATCACGTGATGTGGTAAAAGGCCAATCACAGCGGCCTTTTACCACGAGATCAGCTGTGTCCAATGACACAGCAGATCACCGGGTAGATGCAGTTGCTCGTTTTCGGCTGCACTTTCCTCATGCTGTCACAGCATAAGGGAAAGTACTACCGATAAATGGCAAGTGTCAGATAACAGATCAGCCCTGATGATCAGTGCCCAGCAGTGCCACCCACCTGTGCCCTGCAGTGCCACCACCAATGCTAAGCAGTGCCACCCACCTGTGCCTAGCAGTGCCACCCACCAGTGCCCATCAGTGCTGCCCAGCAGTGCCACCAAGCAGTGCCCAGCAGTGCCGTCAGTCAGTGCCACCTATCAGTGCCCATCATTGCTGCATATCAGTGCGAGCTCATCTGTGACGCCTATCAGTCCTGCCTATCAGTGCCCATCCGTAATGCCTATCCATGCCACCTCAAATCAGTGCTGCTTATCAGTGCCTATCAGTGCTTCCTATCAGTGCAGCCTCATCAATGCACATCAGTGAAGGAGAAACATTACCTGTTTGAAAAAAAAAAAAAAAAAAAAATTCATATGCGTACAGTGTTGCATGACCACGCAATTGTCATTCAAAGTGCGACAACGCTGAAAGCTGAAAATTGGCCTGGGCAAGAAGGGGGTAAAAGTGCCCAGTAGGCAAGTGAATTCCTTGGGGACCCCCAGGTCACCAGAACCAGTGTGCCCACTGAAAGATGTTCCCTCTGTTACTTTTCTGGGGACAACCCACAATGTGGGGTTTTCTTTTACTTTCACTTTCAATGATAATGGCAAACAGGAAATATAGAGAGGGTGAGTGCCAGTTCACATACATGCGGATTGGATGCAGTTTGAACCGCATTCAAAACGCATGACATGTGAAATAACATTGCTTCCTATGGTGCCTGTTCACATATGTCCGGTGGACTGGTAGTGTGGATTCAGTGCAGATTGTAAAACAGTCCTCTACGATTTCTGAGAAGTGTACAGGTTATTGACTTCTATGGGAACCGTTTCTAAACTGCATGTGTGTGAACAGGATAAAATCCTGACCTGAACGTATTCTGATCCTGATGTAAACCTGACATGAACCGGTGAACAGCTTCTGTGTCCATTAGCTGTGAAACTTGAGCATCAATCTGCACCACACAAGTGTGAATCAGCTCTGAATCTCCTTATCAGGGACACAGACAGCAATAAAAATGACGTGTTCTTATCCAGCTCCACTCTATCCAAAACTTAAAAACACGTTTTGCCTTTAGTTATACTTTAAGTGTTCAAACTCTTGATAGAAAAATCTAATTCAAAGATGTCACCACAATCCTTAACCCCTTCACGGCCCTTTAAGAGTTTCAGGAGGCGGGGTTTAGGGTCATGTGACCGCCGTGACGCGTCGTCACCGCAGTCACATGATTGGGAAAGGTCCTGATCAAAAGAGGAGATCGGGACCTTCCGTGAGTACCGGACATGTGTGCTGGGAGCGCGCAGGGCGCACGCTCTCGGCACATATGTCCTTTTTTAATAGAATGCAAACGTGCGGCCGCTTGGCGCCTAGGCCCAGACGCTGGGAGGCCGCACATTTGCGTTTGGCCAGCGTGAAGAGGTTAACAACTTGATCTCTGAAACGTTTTATCCTTTCATAACCAGAGCATTTTTTGCTATTCAGCACTGCACTACTATGGCGATTGCACTGTCATGCAACACTGTACACAATTCATTAAAATTTTTTTCACACAAATAGAGCTTTCTTTTTGTGGTACTTGATCACCACTAGGTTTTTTATTTTTTATTATATAAACGAAAAAGACAAAAAAATTTTGGGAAAAATTTTTTTTTACTTCCTGCTATAGTTCATACCCAACAAAAAGAAAATAAAAAAATAAATTTCTTCAGAAATTTAGGCCAAAATGTATTCTGCTACATGTCTTTGGTAAAAAAAAATCCCAATAAGTGTATATTAATTGGTTTGTGCGAAAGTTACAGCGTCTACAAACTATGGTATACAGTTAGGTCCATATATATTTGGACACAGGCACAATTTTAGATTTGTTCAGGTATTTACCAAAACATATTCAAGTTATAGTTATATAATTGATATGGGCTGAAAGTGCACACTCTCAGGTTTAATTTGAGGGTATGTACATCGGAATTGGAGGAAGGGTTTAGGAATTACAGCTCTTAAGAGTAGCCACACCCCCTTTTTCAAGGGACCAAAAGTAATTGGACAATTGAATCAAAAGCTGTTTCATGGCCAGGTGTGGGCTACTCCTTCGTTATTTCTTCATCAATTAAGCAGGTAAAAGGTCTGGAGTTGATTCTAAGTGTGGTATTTGCATTTGGAATCTATTGCTGTGAACCTATATCGTGCGTTCAAAGGAGCTGCCCATACAAGTGAAACAGGCCATTGTAAGGCTTCAAAAATGAAATAAATCCATCAGAGAGATAGCAGCAACATTAGGAGTCACCAAATAAACAGTTTGGTACATTCTGAGGAAAGAAGAACACACTGGTGAGCTCAGCAACATAAAAAGGCATGGACGTCCACGGAAGACAACAGTGGTGGATGATCGCAGGATCCTCTGTATGGTAAAGAAAAACACATTCACAACATCCAGACAGGTGAAGGACACTCTCCGGGAGGTGGGTGTATCATAGTCAAAGTCTACAATCGAGAAGACTTCACAGGAGCAAATACATAAACCCAAACCATTCACAAGCCTGAAGAACAGAAAATCCAGATTAGATTTTGCCAAAAAACATCTAAAAAAGTAAAGTGAAACTAAGATTAATCTGTACCAGAATGACGGGAAGAAATAGGTGTGAAGACGGCTTGGAACAACTCATGATCCGAAGCACACAATGTCTTCTGTAAAACATGGTGGAGGCAGTGTGATGGCATAGGCATGCTTGGCTTCCAGTGGCACTGGGTCATTGGTGTTTATTGATGATGTGACAGAAGACAGAAGCAGCCGGATGAATTCTGCAGTGTTTAGAGATATATTGTCAGCCCTGATTCAGCCAAATGCAGCAGTACAGATGGACAAAAAACAAAATACACTGCAAAAGTAACTCAGGAGCTTTTGAAGGCAAAGAAGTGGAATATTCTGCAATGGCTGAGTCAGTCACCTGTTCTCAACCAAATTGAGCATGCATTTCACTTTCTCAAAGACAAAACTAAAGGCAGAAAGACCCACAAACAAAGAACAACTGAAGACAGCTGCAGTTAGAGCCTGGCAAAGCATCAGAAAGGAGGAAACCCAGTCTTTGGTAATGTCCATGGGTTCCAGACTTCAGGCAGTCATTGTCAGTAAAGGATTCTCAACAAAATATTAAAAATTAACATTTTATTTATGAATATGTTCATTTGACCAATTACATTTGAGCCATTGAAAATGGAGGGACTTTGTGTAAAAATGGTTGCAGTACCTTAAATTTGTACTCAATATTTATTCAACCCCTTGAATTAAAAGCTGATAGTATGCACTTCAAATTAATTTGGATTGTTTCATTTTAATTTATTCTGGTGGCATATAGAGCCAAAAGTATGAAAATTGTGCCTGTATCCGAATACATATGGACCTAACTGTATATACTAGAATTTACGCAGCTATGAAGCTATAATGGTAAGTGATCAGTGACCTTTAGTGGGACTGTGATAGTGTGGCAGGCAATTTGGCGCCAGCTGATGCTTACTGGGAGGGTCACTAACTGACATCAATATTTATACTCAGTGCTATTACTGTACACTGCCACTGTATTACTGACACTGATTGGGAAAGGGTTAACATCTAGGGGCAATCAAGTGGTTAATTGTGTGCCTAACATGCACTCTGTAATACAAAACAGCTCTATAGGGTTTCCTGAAGAAGCCACGGCTACAGCGTGGTTGTCCAGTTGTGGAAGGAGCGTCTATTGACACCCTCCCAGAACCTTGCCCCTGCATGCCCCCACATTGAGCGTGTCCTGTCATCACTGTGTCCTTTGGACACAGTTGTTCACAGATTGAGGTAAAGGACCAATCACAGCGGCTCTTTACCATATGATCAGCTGTATCCAATCACAGATGATCCCATGTAAATAAATGCCAGTTATTGGAATTTCCATTTTCTCAGTGCTGTCACTGTGTGAGGAAAGGACAGCTGATAACCCGCAATCCTGTAACAGCACACAATTACACTGATAGCCAGGGCACTGATGCCCTGATGATCAGTGCAGCCCAATCAGTATCCATCAGTGCCGCCTAATTTATTCAAACAAACATGTTACAACCTGTACTTTGTGTATAGTTTCATTTCCTAAGGTGCGCAAGCAATTTATACTCTCCGGCCACTTTATTAGGTGCACCTTGCTAGTACGGGTTGGAGCCTTTTTTGCCTTCAAAACTGCCATAGCCTCCCTAGCGGTCTGATTATGTCAGTATTTCTGTGCTCAAAGCTGTACATTTTTTTTGCATGAAAATATGTAGTTTTTTTATTGTAGGCCTGTAATTTTTAGGAATAACTCACTGAAATCTGTCCGAACAAGAGTCTAGTAAACATCCCGGGTATGATAAAATTTGAAACACTAAATCATAAATTATAATGTAATAAATAATCATAAAAATAATAATAATATAATAATAATAATAATAATACATTTAATTAAATAATATAATCAAAACAAAAACACTGAAATGTGAAATAGAGCGCCACGTTCGCACATCACTGAGCAAAGTTGCAAAATCGTTTTCAGTGTCTGATGACAAATTTCCCCACAAATCATTATCACTCAATTCTGCAAGTAGTTCTAATTTACTATCGCTGTTCTCTAGCTGGTCTAAAACCACTTTTGACCTAAAGGGACACTTTTTGGACGTCATGGACTTTTCTCAGTTTCCAGGCAGACAGAATAGTAAAAATGCAGGCAGGGCACAGGACAAAGCATTAGGGACAAAATGTATGTGAAATGGTTTGATACAGTAATGTTTTACTATGTTATTTTAGTGAATGTCCCTTTTTGACATTTTTACATTTCCCGCCAGTTCCGTCCCTATATGTCCCGACGTCGCAGAGAACGGAACCGGAAGATAGATGCCAGCACCGGCCGGAGGACATTGCCGGGGACACTGCAGGAGGGACATCGCAGGAGCGCAGGACAAGGTAAGAGAAGAAGAGATCCCGGAGCAACGCTGCAAGGTATTCCCGAGTGTAGCTCGGGGTTACCGCTTGTGGTGCTGAAACTTTACCCCGAGCTACACTTGGGAATACCTCCAGGGAGGTTAATTCTTCGTGGCATAGATTCAACAAGGTGTTGGAAACATTCCTCAGAGATTTTGGTCCATATGGACATGATAGCACCATGTAGTTACTGCAGATTTGTTGGCTGCGCATCAATGATGCGAATCTCCCGTTCCACCACATCCAAAAGGTGCTGTATTGGATTGAGATCTGGTGACTGTGGAGGCCATTGGAGTACAGTGAACTCATTATCATATTCAAGAAACCAGTTTGATATGACTTGAGCTTTGTGACATGGTGCATTATCTTGCTGGAAGTACCATCAGAAGATAAGTACACTGTAGTCATAATGGGATGGACATGGTCAGCAACAATACTCAGGTAGGCCGTGGTGTTTAAACGATGCTCGATGGGTGGTAAGGGGCCCAAAGTGTGCCAAGAAAAAATATCCCCCACATCATTACACCACCAGCCTGAACCATTGCTACAAGACAGGATGGATCCATGCTTTCATGTTGATTACTCCGAATTCTGACCCTACCCTCTGAATGTTGCAGCTGAAATCGAGACTCATCAGACCAGGCAACGTTTTTTCCAATCTTCTATTGTCCAATTTTGGTGGGCCTGTGCAAATTGTAGCCTGTTTCCTGTTCTTATCTGACAGGAGTGACATCCGGAGTGGTCTTCTGCTGCTGTAGCCCATCTGCTTCAAAGTTCGATGTGTTGTGTGTTCAGAGATGGTATTCTGCATAGCTTGGTTGTAAAGAGTGGTTATTTGAGTTACTGTTGCCTTTCTATCATCTGGAACCAGTTTGCCCATTCTCCTCTGACATCAACAAGGCATTTTTGTCCACACAACTGCTGCTTACTGCATATTTTCTCTTTTTATGACCATTCTCTGTAAACTCTAGAGATGGTTGTTCATGAAAATCCCAGTAGATCAGCAGTTTTTGAATATTCAGACCAGCCCGTCTGGCACCAACAACGTTCAAAGGCACTTAAATCCCCTTTCTTCCCATCTTCCTGATGCTCGGTTAGAACCTTAGCAAGTCGTCTTCACCACTTCTAGATGCCTAAATGCATTGAGTTGCTGCCATGTGATTGGCTGATTAGGAATTTGTATTACCAAACAATTGAACAGGTGTAAGTGAATAAGGGGCCTGTGAGTGTATATGGTGTTGACAGCACTGGTGTGTTTGAAAGGAAAACCACGGGCAAGCATATATTCTCACAGTGATTTTGAGGATTGTGGTGACATCTTTGAATTAAATTTTTCTATCAAGAGTTTGTTGCTAAACCCACAACAGTAAAATCAGTCCTTATGTGCGGTAAAGAATGCTTGTTATACTCATGATGAAACCTAAGGGGTTAATCCTCCGCATTGTGTAACGTCCGCAATGTTTAGTCCTGTGTTCTCTGATCCCCTTCTTCTATTGTTCCCAATCCATCTGCTAATAGTACAGAGCTCTAGGAGTCATTCTGCACATGCTCAGTTTGGTGTGTATTGCTAGAGAGTTTTTTTCTTTGGGAAAGTGCAAGTGATCAGCACAGTGCCAATCAGCACTGTCCATACAGAGGGTCAGGGGTTATGCAGCCTCATAGGACAATCAAGAGAGAATGAAAACTCCTCCTACAAGCTTTAACCAGTGCTCTGCTGTACACTGATAGAGGTCACAAGACTATATACTGCTGATGAGAAAAGGTATTTAGCAGTTTATATTTACTAAAATAATTGCATGTTCTGTGTACTGTGGGATATCGGATATAGTGAATGCAGGGTTCTGGCTTTAGTAATACTTTAACCACTAGCCTACAAGGCATTTATACCCCCTTCCTGCCCAGGCCAATTTCCAGCTTTCAGCGCTGTCGCACTTTGAATGACAATTGGGTGGTCATGCAACACTGTACCCATATGAACGTTTTATCATATTTTTGTGACAGATAGACCTTTATTTTGGTGGTATTTAATCACCTCTGGGTTTTTTTATTTTTTCTTAAATCAAAAACCACTGAAAATTTTGAAACAAAAAAAAGTTTTTTCCTAGTTTTTGTTATAATATTTTGTAAATAAGTGATTTTTCTCCTTCACTGATGTGCGCTAATGAGGCTGCACTGATGGGCACTGATAGGCTGCACTGATGGACACTGATAGGTGGCACTGATGGGCACTGATGAGGAGGCACTGGTAGGTGGTATGGGCATTGACAGGGCACTGATGGGCACTGAAAGGCAGCACTCATATATGGCACTGATAGGCGGCACTGATAGGTGGCACTGACTGGCACTGATAGATGGCACTGTTAGGCGGCATGGATAGGCAGCACTGACGGGCACTGATAGACATTGATAGGCGGCACTGACTGGCACTGATAGGCGGCACTGACTGGCACTGATTGGCAGCACTGATAGGTGGCACTGACTGGCATTGATAGGTGGCACTGACTGGCACTGATAGGTGACACTGAAAGGCAGCTCAGATGGGCACTGATATGTGGCATTGATGTGGCACTGATGGGCACTGAAATGTGGCACTGATGGGCACTGGCAGGTGGCATGGATGAGCACTGAGAGCTGGCACTGATGGACACTGACAGGTGGCACTGCTGGGGCTACACAGATCATCAGGGCACACTGATCATCAGTGCTCTGATGATCTGTGTACATGTCCCCTCCGATGAATGCCGACTATCGGCTCTCCTCTCCTCACGAGCTGTCAGCGTGACAGCTCGTGGGGAGAGACATGCCGATAACCGATATTTCCCTATTTACATGTGATCAGCTGTGATTGGACACAGCTGATCACATGACAGAGCCGACATCTTTGGCTCTTTCCGTGGATTGGTGATCCGCTGTGTCTGAGGGACACAGCGCACCGCCGATCGCCACGCTGTGCGCTCCGGGAGCCGCGCATGCGCAGTTAGAATGGGAGGAAGTCATATGACATCCTCCCAGAACGAGAGAACCACCTTGCATCCATCATATTACTATATGGCGGGCGGGAGGGCGGTTAAGAAGATTTCACACTATTACTTATGGACTAATTATTTATGATATAATTCTTCAGCTTTATTTATGGCTGCTGGAACAAAACCAATAAACTTCTTTTTTCTGTGGGGTGAATTCACTAAGACAAGGTACTGAATAGTAAGTCAATTTTACTTTATTTTATCTATTCTATTCTATATATTGCTCTGACATATGTTTTTGTAAGTATTATCTCTGGTTTTGAGACAAAAATTCCATTGACCAATTGTTTATTTTTGGTATATTCACCTGTTACTGTTTACATGTTTACCAGAAACTATCCTTGTCTTTATATGCCCTGAAGAAGATCTAAAATGTGGAATGATCGAAACGCGTCGGGGTAATTTTCTCTTCCCTCCTGAGTGGTTTTTGACTTTGTGAAAAAAAGTTTTTTTGTAAGAATATTGTCAGAGCGATGTTCCTTTAAAATGTATGTATTTCATACAAAATATGTGTATGTAATAAAGCTGATAATTCTTTTAGAAAAATGTTCTCTTGGATATACGTGTAATATCTCAATGCTGCAATAAAGTCTCACTGGGGGGTCTTTTGGTACATGTAAATTTTTGACTTGAGATAACTAATGTTGGATTTATCTTAAAAGTAGTCAATTCACATAACTTGTTAAACCCTTTTACGAATGTCGAATACATATGTCCTGCCACAAAAGAGAGGGCTTTAATGCCCACATGCCATACATATGCATTGCTGGGTGGCTGTTCACGTGTTGAGAGCACACTAAGTGTTCTTCTGAGCACAAACCAAGCAGTCGCAGACAGTTCTTGTTCTGGGCTACAGATAGGTAGCCAATGGGACCAACTTCCGATTATGTAGCCACTGTGAAAGTGGGCAAGGACACTTACACTGTGCAGAAAAAAGGCCTACTTCTGTATTCTGCAAGAAATATTATATGTTATGTTGTATTTTTTTTTTGTTTTGATATACACTATATTGCCAAAAGTATTGGGACACCCCTCAAGCACCTAGGCATGCAGACTGCTTCTACAAACATTTGTGAAAAAATGGGTCACTGTCAAGAACTCAGTGAATTCAAGCGTGGTACCGTGATAGGTTGCCACCTATGCGATAAGTCCATCCATGAAATTTCCTTGCTACTATATATGCTACTATATATTCCAACTGATAATGGTATTATAACAAAGTGGAAGTAACTGGGAACAAAAGCAACTCAGCCACAAAGTGGTAGGCCACGTAAAATGATAGAGCGGGGTCAGGGGTCAATAGCTAAAGACCTCCAAACTTCGTGTGGCCTTCAGATTACGCAACAGTGCGTAGAGAGCTTCATGGAATGGGTTTCCATGGCCTAGCATCCAAACCTTACATCACTAAGTGCAAAGCATCGGATGCAGTGGTGTAAAGCACGTCACCACTGAACTCTAGAGAAGTGGAGATGTGTTCTCTGGAGTGACGAATCCTGCTTCTCTGTCTGGCAATCTGATGGACGTGTCTGGGTTTGGCAGCATTGTGTTTTGACTGCATTGTGCCAAGTGTAAAGTTTGGTGGAGGGGGATTATGGTGTGGGGGTTGTTTTTTAGGGGTTGGGCTTGGCTTCATAGTTCCAGTGAAGGGAACTCTTAAGGCATCAGCATACCAAGACATTTTGGACAATTTCATACTCCCAACTTTGTGGGAACAGTTTGGGGATGGCCCCTTCCTGTTCCAAAATGACTGCACACCAGTGCACAAAGCAAGGTCCATAAATACGTGGATGAGCGAGTTGTAGGAACTTGACTGGCTTGCACAGAGCCCTGACCTCAACCCAAAAGAACACTTTTGGGATGAATTAGAGCAGAGATTGCGAGCCAGGCCTTCTCGTTCAACATCAGTGCTTGACCTCACAAATGCGCTTCTAGAAGAATGGTCAAGCATTCCCATAGACACACTCCTAAACCTTGTGGACAGCCTTCCCAGAAGAGTTGAAGCTGTTATAGCTGCAAAGGGTGGGTCAACTCAATATTGAACCCTACGGACCAAGACTGGGATGCCATTATTGTTCATGTGTGTGTAAAGGCAGGCGCCCCAATACTTTTGGCAATTTAGTGTATTTTAAATGTTATGCTATGTTATATGTTATGGTATTTTATATTCTATGTCATGTGTTTTAATATACGTTATGTTATATGTTATGTTACATGCTATGTTATGTTATGTTATGCGGTATATTTTTTTTTATGTTACGTTATGCTATGTTATATGTGTTTACAAGTGACAGCATGTCTCTCAATGGCTCCTACTACAGATTTTATCTCCCTGAGTACAGGATGGGGACAAGGGAGATGCAGGTGCCCAGGGTGCAATACAGATGCGACACCCACATTGGATAATCTCCTTTCAAATGAGAGAGGTGAAGCCATCTGCAATGTGTGGGGAGGTACTGGAGCCGGCTGGGTGGTTCAGCTTCATACAGCAACAAAAGTGTGGAAGATGGTGGAGCTTTTAAAGAAGGGGGAATAAAATGGGGGCAGTAGAGGTGGGGGGTTGCATGTAGAAGTCAGAGCCGAAGAGGGGTGAAAGTGAGATGCGGATGGGGGTGCAGAGGTAAACAGCTGTGGAATAAGACTAAACTCTGCAATCTGTGTGTAGCACACTCCTGAACTCTGCACTCTGTATGCAGCACACCACTGAACTCTGCACTATGTACATAGCGCACCCCTGAACTCTGCACTCTGTGTGTAACCACCCAACTCTGCACTCTATAAGTAATACAATCTTGGTATTTAATGCCCCTTTAAGACCCTCCCACTGTTAGTGAAACTTGACAACACTCACTATTTGATGCAGTTTTGAGGGTGTGTGTGTGGGGGAGAGGTGGATTGGGGTGTCATGGTTGAGTTCCTACACCTAAAAAAAGCCCTGTGCAGGAATACCCTTAAATATGTCTTGTGCCATATTATATATACTGATCCATTCATATTCTAAGAGAATCTAAGCACTTTTGGCAGCTGGACAAAAAATAGTTTTCCAAAAATTCCAACTGGACTTTAAATCAATACCGGCCTTTCTAGACCAGCATACTATACCCCGCAAATGAAGATGCGGGTTAGGGATATTTTGTACCATGCCTCCAACATTTTATTAAAGCGTAGCTCCATCCAAAAAGGGAAGTTCCGCTTTAAGGACTGCTCCCCATTAAGGATTGACACCTTTGGGGGGGAGCGGGTACCCGAATTTGACAGGTAACCGCTCCCACTTCCGGTACGATCGCCAAGGCGATCGGAAACAGAAGGTGTCCCTCCCTCCCTGTAGTCTTTTGGGACACGTGACAGGTCCCAGAAGACTACAGGACCATTAGGAAGCGCAGCGCTACTAGCGCATATGCAGTGTGTACCCGGCTGTGAAGCTGCAAGCTATCACACCGGGTGCCCACAGTGAAGATACCGGCCTCCTGGAATACAGGACGGCCGGTGAAACGAGCTGGGGGGGACACACCACGGGACCGAGGGACAGGTACGTGGCTGTTATTTAAAAGTCAGCAGCTACAGTTTTTGTAGCTGCTGACTTTTATTTTTTGATAGGTCGAGTGGAACTCCGCTTTAAGCTTTTGATACAGCAGCGATAAAATATTCCATGTTTTTGTAAGCTCTGGTGCAACTGTATGCTAATTTCCTACCTTTCTTTTTCCTTTTTGTGCTTGTAACTTTAGCGGATGGAGCACCCTCCCAATCAATGAGATTTTGTACCATGCAAATAATTACAGTATAACGAACGAATGCTTTTTGTCATTTTTGTGAGGATATTTGCTTGGGGAGTGCTTGGTCGAATTCTTCTGGCGAGAGTGGAAGCTCCAATTTATGCACCGCAATTCAGGACAACAATTTTGGGCCATATCGCTCCAGGAAGTCCTTCATAAGTGACGCATGTTTAGTCGCAGAGGAGGCCGAAGAAGCAGAAGGAGATAGGTTGTATAGATCCTTATAGAACAACTTGACCTGCACCGCAATCGATTCGTTCGATACATGTAGCACCCCCATTAGCAACTCACACTTGGTAGATCGACCAGGAGGAGAGTTTTGCTTGCACTGCTCTAGCTAAGAGATGACCACACTTGTTGCCGTGTTCGTAAAATACCTTACTTCTAAGAAGGAGTTGTCATTTAGATTTCTTCTCCAGTTCTATGAGGAGCTGGGATCTCACTTTGGTTAGTTCCTGGTGGGTGGCTGTTGCTCTGGTTTGTTTGTGGGTGCGCTCAAGGAAGTTAATTCGGGACATTAAGGAAGAAAGTAAAGTTTGGTGTTTTTTTTTTTCTGTTTGGCCGCTAGTGCAAGAAGTTCTCCCCGGATTACATACTTGTGGGCCTCCCATAGCATAAGAGGAGTGGTATCTAGAGTGTCATTACGTACAAAAAAGTTGAGCACGCAGGATGCGAGGTGTTGGACATCAGCGGGGTCCTTCAGGAGAACAGCGTTAAGTCACCAGATTTTGGATCTAGATTGTGGATCAGGAAACACTAGGGTAAGTGTGATCGGGTTATGGTTGCATAGCACCATAGGCTCAATCGTGGCCTGATGTAGGAAGGGGAGGTCTGCCTGTGAGAGGAAGAAGTAGTCAATTCTGGTTCCAGTGCAGGGTGGAAAAATAACTGTAGTCTTTCTCTTGCGGGTGTAGTAAACACCATGAGTCATGAAAATGCACTATAGCTAACCTGCGCTGAGAAGTGATTGCCATGATGAAATGTCACTTATTCTTTGCTCTCATTTTAGAAGAGTTCCAAAAATGAACAATATGATAAGATGTCCCACCATTTTAATATGTTTTTTGCCAACATCCCAATGTATATAGACCAAAAAAGACTAGAAATATTCCCCTGGGACTTTATATGGCAAAAAACACAATCAGTATACAAAAAAATATAAAACAGTAGTGTTTATTAC